CTCTCCAAAGAAGTTAGATGAGAATGCCTTGTGACCCTAATTATAATAACTTCAATATTTTATTCTAATTTTAAGACTGCCAGAGTTGACATAAAGGAAGACTCAAGGTAAATTAATTCAAAGGAACTGAGTGCAGAGGAACCCAATATAAGAAGAGCCTAAATTCAATCAGAGAGGTGACAGTCACAAAGATCAGGCCTTTTGGTTTACTTTTGGTTTACTTTTGTTTTTCTCTGATACAAACACCAAATTTGGATTCTGTGTTCCTTCTCCACTAGTCATTTGAAAATTGTTACCTTTGAAAAGCCCACGTGAACAAAAGCAAAAGACAAGATTAATATCATTAAGCAAAAATCTAACTGTGCTTTGGAGTTCTTATATGCTTATCCAGTGATATCATTTTATGATCACAGGTTACTTAAGATGCCTAATAATGTTTGTTAAATTAAGTTGAATATACTTTTTTCCATTTTACTTGTTCTTCTGAGGTGGCTGTACCCATATCTCGGAAGAAAAAAAAAAGTGAAGATTTAGTATACTAACTGCTTTCTGCATACATAACCCACCACAGCCATGTTGGAGCAAGGCTGTTTTTTTAAACCTCAGTCACACTGGTCATTTTCATAAGCTGATCAGTAAAAAGTGTATTTTTCTTGGTGTTTCCATGGGTCATTCACTAAGCAATAACACCATCAGGAGTTACTGATCCCAAGGGAATAGCAGCTTAATTACATAGAAATTTAAAAATGAGAGTAGTGTCGCATGAGTACAGATATAGAGACTATCCTATCTTCGGGTGGTTTATTATTATGTTTAATACATCAGATGGTCTTTTTGGTTTGTGTAGACTTTAATTACTAAGTAAGTCTGGTAAAATATGAATTATTGTATTAACACAAGTGATAAAAGGTTTACATGGTTACAATCTGTAGGTGTAATGTACATAATGCAAGATTAATAGTATCAAGCAATTAAACTGAAGTTAAAAGAAGGTTTAATGCTACCCTTAAGTGTAACTTAAACTCTTGCTAAATATTTTTAACTGCAATAAAAGCATGTTAATTTTAGGAGTGACTTCTTTACAAGACCTTATTTCTTAGAGTACGTTTTCCTTTCTGAGAATACAAAAGCACACTGCAATACTTTCTGCTGGTAACTCATCCCGTAAAGAATTTTTTTTCTTGGCTTTTAAGCTCAATGAAGAAAGCCCAGAATAGCACAGGAAGTTTTGTGTGGTGGATATACGTATGAACTAAATCTAGTTGGGATAAAAGTGATTAAATTACTGATAAGATCATTGTTGGTCCCAAAGCATTCCATTAGTCATACCAGGACTTCTTAAATATTTTGAGAATTTGGCCTTAGTTTTCCTGTAAGTGCATATTAAATAGAGGAAACTATATTTTGCTTTAATTTAATATCCTTACAGGTACAACCCGCTAAGAGTCTTACATATTGTGCCCAGTCACTCAGTCGTGTCCAGTTCTTTGTAATCCCATGGACTGTAGCCTGCCAGACTCCTCTGTCCATGGAATTTTCCAGGCGAGGAATACTGGAGCGGGTTGCATCTCGTATTCCAGGGAATCTCCCCACCCCCGGGATCGCAGCCGTGTCTGCTGCATTGGCAGGCAGACCTTTACCCCTGCCACCACCTGGGAAGTGGCCTGGCCAAAATGGTCCTTTGGACTTTTCAAAACATCATACAGAAAAACCGAACAAGTTTTTTGGCCAACCTGATGAAAGAAACATGCTAGGCATCTACTAATTAATTCTTTCCTTCTGCGTTTCTGGGTTTCCCCCACTTCCTGAATTATTTTTATGCTGCCACTGACAAGATCGACGCCTGTATTTCCAACTTAGCTGCACCTTTGCTTCTGAGTCGCGTGACAGTTGGCATCACAGTGAGCTTAACAAAGATCTTGGTGAACATGTAAAACACTAAGCAAAATGTTCTCTTACAAAGAGCTCTTTGGTTCTCTCTGTGTGTCTGCCTGTCTCTCTCTCTCTCTCTCTCTCTCTCTCTCACACACACACACACACACACACACACACTATGGTCCTTGCCCCGGAATTATTTACTAGTGTACTTGGCAAGATGAAACTTAAAAAATAAAGCAATGTAAAACACTTATAAAGCAGCACATCACAGATTCCACATCAAATATAGGAGCACTGAGGACCTGTGTGCTGTGGTTTTGCAGGCGTGTTTTATTCACTGTCCATTGCTGGGTGTCTGAGCGCCCCGCCTGACCGCACTGTGGTGGCGGCTGCCCACGTGTGCCGCTGCAGAGTGGGTTCCGAAGCTAGGCTAGCGCAACCCAGAACGGCAGGCATGTTGCAAGACAGGAGGTTTGGGCAATAACTGAGCATTTTGTTACAAAAATAGTAAGACTATATATTATTTCTGAGAAGTAGGCTCCTTTGTCTTCTCTGCATTACCCGTGATGAAACCAAAGATGTGATTGTCCCTGAGAAAATGAGAGGAATTTGAACTTTAAGGAAGAGGGGGAAAGATGGCATTGCATTTTTGTGGCGTGTATTAACCTTTGTTAGTTCTTTTTTTTTTTTTTGACAAATAATGTTTTTTGTAATATGATACATCACCTTTTTTCCAAAAGGCATTTTACTTTCAGTAGGAGATAACAGGAAAACCACACAGAAAAAAAGGTCCCTCCACATAAGGCCTCACAGAAGCAGTGTCTGGGGAAACTGCAGCAGGAGTTACCATGGGCTTGTTCAAACAAGGAAAGCGTGGAAGTCAGCTCCAGGCGGGAAGCGGGCAGGTTCAGGGCCTAGGATGACGTTGTTGGTGAGTTTATGCTGGCATCCAGATCTGAAACCAGGAGGAGTCACTTTAATGTCAGAGTATGTAATTTTCAAAGTGCCAAAGTTTACCTATCCACCAAACCAAGATAATTCTCAAGTTTATTTATTTACTTCTGTTTTCCAGTTGTACTGAGATATAATTGACAAATACAATTGTAGGTATGTAGCATATATCATTGTGATTGATGTAGGTGCATGTTGTGGAATGGGTTCCTCCATATATTTAAGTAACACAGCCCTCACCTCACATGTTTATCTTTATAATTATCATTATTTTTGGTGAGAACATTTAAGTTGTTTCTCTCTCAGCAAATTTCAATTATACAGCACCCTGTTACCAGCCGTGGTCACCACGTTATACACTAGGTCCGCATCAGGTTTTTTCTTTGATGGATTTTTCTTCAGTTGTGCCAGTTGGATAACTGAATGACCATGTTCTAAATGATTTTAATTACTTAATTTTGCCCATACAGTTATCAGTTTAAAGGTCCTTTTAACAGCTTTAAATGGTTTAACAGGTTTAAATGGTTTAATCCCGGCGTTTTTTGCTTTGCCCATTCTTTGCCCATTGGTTCCACCAACACTCTTTACAAAAGCAATTAATTATTTTTAATTAAGAGCAACCTGTGTAATTTAGGGATATTTTGGTACTTCTTAAAATAGTAAATATTAGCATTTGCAATTTAAAAAGAATTAGAAGTGTGTGTGGAAATAATGTTTTATTCTAAGCCATATAAATATAGGCATACTAGACAAAATACATATATGTATTTTGTGTTAGCAACCTTTCATATTAGCAGTGGGGTAAGAACTAAAAGGTAGATAAAAATTGTAAGCAATTCTGTAACATTTTTTAAATGCTAATGTCACTTAGGCATTAAATTTTCTTCCTGAAAAAACTGAGTAACATAATTTAAGATGTAGTTGAAAATATAATTTAATTTTTCTGTTGATTAATTTGGTAATATGAATGAAGGAATTCGAGTATTTGATCATATGGTTCTTAATAAACTGTGATACGTATGTGTTATTATACACTATTTTGTCACAGCTTTTTGATTCCTCCTTAAATGTAATACTCCCTGAAAAAAGTAGTATCTGAATTTTTTTTTTTTTGGCCTCACTTTAACCTCACAGATGGTTATATTTGGTTTTGAATTTGCAAAGAGGTAATATCTCTGAACTAATTTTTAGAGAATGTCCCCTATTCTGTGCTATTTCTTGGTACTAGAAATTTAGAATTTTTGAGTCTTTGTTGCATGATAGAATCACATAGATTTCTAGCTGAAGTTCCTAGAGAAAGGCTCGAGTAAAGGAATTATAGCCATGTATATAAAATTAGAAGTAAATGATAAAAATATATCAAGTGAATTGTTTTAATTTTCTTATAAGAATTAGATATAAATGGCTTAGCATTTGCTCAAAGTCTGAAGTGTTACTATTTATGGTATATAATTATAGACAAACCCTGTTTAATATTCTTGTTAGCTTCTGTGTTTTGTCTGTAGCATCCGTGTCCCTTCTCCTGGCCATAGAAGTGACTGTGTTTTGAAATAATACCCCTAGAGAGAGAACCTCCTTGATAAGTTATTCTGAAGTTAAAAATCAAGTATCATTGTATGTTTCATTTGAAATAACTGTCTACGCTTGACAAAAAAATCTTTTTTTTTTCACATTTACTTTTAAAATGAATACTTTTACATAGGAGTGAAATGTCAGAATGCAGTTTTTTGTTTGACTGTAGTAATTTGTCATATGACCATTTGCAAGAGTCTAGTTAACATAAAAGGTCAGTAGTGATACAAAATTTTGGAACATTATTATTTAATTCATAACCTTACAAATGAAGTAACTATCAGACTACATTCATTTTTATCCTTGCCTTTTTGAGATTTATGATTTCTAATGCATATGAAAGATTTCTACCCTTTTCAAATATTGTACTTGTGTTGTACAAGGAATAAAGTTTAATGATTGTGGCCTCATTATAAAATTACAAAATGCATTTGAAAGTCTAAAACTTGGACTTTACCGTATTATGTTTTTATGTGTAATATTTGCTCAGTGTGATGAGTTAAAAATTATGATTTTTTCACAGTTGCAGGAGAAGATGATTCCTCTTTATATTGCTCTCACAAGTACTGTTCCCTGCGTTTGGCTTTTGTTTCCCGCAGACGGTGGGTGCGGCTGCTGTTTGGCCGAGAGTTCCCGCTGCAGGACCTCCTGGTGGTCTGGGACGCCCTGTTTGCCGATGGCCTCACCCTGACTTTGGTTGACTATGTCTTCGTGGCCATGTTGCTCTACATACGAGATGCTTGTAAGTGCTAATGCCCGTGCCAACATTCAATTCGGTGGTCCTGATTTTTTAAACTGTGTCTCTTAAATGCACTTTATCTTTTATTTGGAATTACCATACCTAGATTTTTATCATAGGCAGTACATTGGAAGTTTCAGAGGAACAACCTAAATATATTTTTTGTGAGTTAACATATATGTATCAGATGTGGGTAATTTTATCCTGAGAGAATTGGAATATTCTTCAGAACCATTTTTCTAAAGACTTGCCTCCTGCTTTGATCTCGTCATTACACACATTTGTGAAGCATACATAGAAAAAGCCAGTGTTTCAGATATGTTTAGAGCTCCACCTTCTGACAGGTAGGGAATATTCAAGAATATTTAGCAGGAGATGAGAGCTGTTTTTATAGTATCAATAACTTGCCAATAAATATTGCATTTAAAGCTACTCTAACTTCTTAGTTAAATTTTGACCAGACATATTTCTCAGTGGAGTGCCCAGGGGCAGATGTATTTTTGTCTCATAGGATCTACCTTAGGGTGCTTGCCTAGCTGGAAAACCTGGGCCTGACCCTTTGGAATAGTCCAATAATTCTCAGCTTGAAGAGAAAAGCAGAGCATGTTTTAAATTTCAGAATACCTCAAATTGTTTTCCTTTTCAAAAGGAAGAGCTCACAAAACCAGATTTGTAAGCCAAAATGTAATTAGGAATGTTTGCACAGTGCGATGATGAAGTAGGAAGTAAAAAACTACTGTAAGAGTGGGACTTTGTCAGAGGAACATAAACTATTTGGAGTCATTCATAATCTTGACTGTTAAATTACTGTGTGGTTCTCTATTTATTCATTAGATTTCAGTTGTGCCAGATGCTGTTGTTATCCCTCTGCTAAAACTAATAATATTCTTTAAATTCTTGATTATACTTTTACAATTCCCCCCAAATTACTTGAACGAATAAATGACAGGAGCATCACATTTTATCCAAAACTTATAATTTTACTCTGTGCTTTGAAGGTCAAATAGTTTGGGGTTTTGACATACAAAGTAGAAAATTCTTTCTTTCTGGGTAAGAACATGGAGATCATAAGAGGAAATAATCTGGGAAGTAGAGAAGAATGTTTGGATAGATTTTAGGGTATTTAATGCTAATCTCCCACTGAAAAATAGTGTGTTTTTTTAATAAAATGTAAGTAATGAAAAACAAGGAAATCAGTCCTGAATACTTGTAGGAAGGACTGATGCTGAAGGTGAAACTCCAATACTTTGGCAACCTCATCTGAAGAACTGACTCATTGGAAAAGACCCTGATGCTGGGAAGGATTGAGGGCAGGAGGAGAAGGAGATGACAGAGGATGAGATGGTTGGATGGCATCACCAACTCAATGAACATGAGTTTGAGTAAACTCCGGGAGTTGGTGATGGACAGGGAAGCCTGGTGTGCTGCAGTCCATGGGGTCGCAGAGAGTCGGACACGACTGATTGACTGAACATACTACATGAAAAGCAAAAGGAATGAGAAGCCTCCTTTATTTAAAAAATTACTTTTGGATAATATTTTCACAAAATTTTTCAAGCCAGACAGCTATTGGAATCTATCCTGATTTTCTGTGGCCTTAACTATTTACTCTTTCCTTAACTTCTGTGTATGACAACCATATTTTTAATCAGCCTGTGTCCTATCCTAAGATCTGCTTTCAAAAATTAATTTCATAAAACTTGGCAGTTTGGGGCGGCTAAAGCCCTTGTTCATTTTTAAGACCTTATAGAACACATAGACACAAGTGAGAAAATGTAGGGGTAATGAAGTTGTCTATTTAAATATGAAGTCCTAGTTATTTTAATTTGCTGGTTTAAATCCACAACAGTAGGTGAGATTTCCTAAAAATAGGATGACTACGTACGAGGCATTTAAGGGGCACTGCCCCTGTCCTTGTGAAGTTTACCCACTAGCAGGAAGCAGTAGTAGGACTAGTAATTGTGGAACTGGTAGGACAAAGTCTAGTAGAACATGGTTAACTTCAGGCTAATGCTTCTGGGCAGCAGCAGGAGAGTTCAGGAGAGGCGCCAAGCTCCCCTCTGGGCAGGCTGTGTGACTGGAGAAAATGCTGTAGACGCAGGTGAGTGAAATGAGGTCTGCAGCATGAACGAAGAGCTTGGAAGAGACCGCTTAGTGGGGGGTTGTGTGTGCGTGTTTCCACAAGCTGCCTGGTCTCCTGAGAGCTGTGAGGGTGAAGGGGTCAAGAACGAGAGCCTGATGAGAAGCCTTACCCTGGAGGTGGCAGGCAGCCACTGAAAGGGGTGGGCAACGGTGTGGGTGGTTTCAGGCTCCTCTGACTGCAGGGTGGAACGGACCAGAGGCAGGCAGGGCTGGAGCCAGGAGGTCGGATGAAAGGTTACCACCATGGTCCAGTGGGGATGGTGAACTAAAGAGATCTTCAGAACTGAAGCCAGCATGTCTTGGTGATTAAACCAAATGGGTGAGGCGGAACAGGAAGTGCTCAGTGAGCCCCCGCTCGAGAGCCGAGCAGGCGGGTTGTCTGTCTGACCCAAAAGGGAAAGACGAGGATTAGCAGGTTTTCGGAATGGGTAGGACTGTGCTTCGGCTATGCTGAATTTGAGAGATCTGTAAGAAATCAGGGCTTTCTAGGTGATGCTAGTAGTAAAGAACCTGTCTGCAAATGCAGGAGACATAAAAGGCATGGGTTCGATCCCTGGGTTGGGAAGATCCTCTGCAATAGGAGATGGCAACCCGCTCCACTATTCCTGCTCAGGAAATTATGGGCAGAGGAGCCTGGCGGGCTACAGTCCATGGAGTTGGAAAGAGTCGGACATGACTGAAGCGACTTAGCATGCATGGACTTAGGGAATCAATATCTGAGGATTGGAAAATAAAATTCACTATCAGCATCAAGGCTACAGGTTTATTTTTGCAAATGGTAGTTGTTATAACCACAACAGTGGATGTGATCTCCCAAGAGAACAGAGGGACCATATATTCCCAGTCTGTATGGAGCAGCCTTAGTTCTATACACTCACTATTGAAGAGTAATAATTATTAATACTGCCTTCTTTCACTCTCAAAGTCACCCCATAAAGATCATAAGAATTATATGGTCAGTTTACCTAACGTGGATGCTTACAGAAAGAGAAAAATGGGTAAAGGTGTTTCACATCAGTATCTTCAGAGGCACCAGGAAAAGAAGAGCTTGTGTTGTAACCCCTGAAAACTGTTACCTGAGTCAGGAGGACCCGGGTCAGAGTGTAGTCAGGTAAGCCCGGGACAGTCCACCGCAACCTCCCAGAACTGTTACCTGGGTCAGGAGGACCCGGGTCAGAGTGCAGTCAGGTAAGGCCGGGACAGTCCACCGCAACCTCCCAGAACTGTTACCTGGGTCAGGAGGACCCGGGTCAGAGTGCAGTCAGGTAAGGCAGGGACAGTCCACCGCAACCTCCCAGAACTGTTACCTGGGTCAGGAGGACCCGGGTCAGGAGTGCAGTCAGGTAAGGCCGGGACAGTCCACCGCAACCTCCCAGAACTGTTACCTGGGTCAGGAGGACCCGGGTCAGAGTGCAGTCAGGTAAGGCAGGGACAGTCCACCGCAACCTCCCAGAACTGTTACCTGGGTCAGGAGGACCCGAGTCAGGAGTGCAGAGGCACAGTCAAGTAAGCCCGGGACAGTCCACCGCAACCTCCCAGAACTGTTACCTGGGTCAGCAGGACCCGGGTCAGAGTGCAGTCAGGTAAGGCTGGGACAGTCCACTGCAACCTCCCAGAACTGTTACCTGGGTCAGGAGGACCTGGGTCAGGAGTGCAGTCAGGTAAGGCCAGGACAGTCCACCGCAACCTCCCAGAACTGTTACCTGGGTCAGGAGGACCCGGGTCAGAGTGCAGAGGCACAGTCAGGTAAGGCTGGGACAGTCCACTGCAACCTCCCAGAACTGTTCCCTGGGTCAGGAGGACCCGGGTCAGGAGTGCAGAGGCACAGTCAGGTAAGGCTGGGAAGCCCCACTGTGGAGGGAGGGACAGTCACTGGCGACCTTTGCCAGAGTGGGTTCTGTGGACTGGGGGAGTGGAAGCTGGATTATGGTAGGTTGGTGAGTAACTGGACAGCTCAGAACTGCAGTAGCCTCTTCCACATTCCTTTTGTCTTATGTACGAATTACGTTTTCAACTAAAAGTCAGCCAAATGAAAAAGAATGTGCAGATGGCATGTGCAGAGTAATCTTTTTTAAAAAAGTCCACAGGGAGGGGAAGAAGATGGTTGTAGTTAGAGGTCAGTGGAGGGCAAGGAAGGTTTGATGGCTGCCTATAGAGGGAGACGACCCCGCTTGCAGAGGTGTGGAGAGCTGGCTGGCGGAGAAGGTGCTTCTCAAGCCAGTCCGAGCTTCTCCTTCAGGGATCAGCACTAGCGTTTCACTCCTGTTCCGTGAAGAGGATCTGTGTGTGTTTATTACTGGTTCTTTACACCCCCTCCTCCACTCCCCAATGAGCAACGCGAGCTTGTCCGTCTTGGTGGGCCTCCATATCCCAGCGTATAGAACTGGACCCAGTGCATATTTTTGGGAAATAATCGAAGAAACAAGGGCCTTTGAGGCAGTGGCGTGATAGCGGGCGTCCTGTGGAAGGAGGTACCCGTTTCTAGGAGGGTAGAAACCCTGGCTGGCAGGGTCTCAGTGCCTGATAAAGGATGTTCACACAGACCCACTGTCTGTGTGAACGGGGCAGTCAGGGCTGGGGGCTTGCAGGTAGTGACTGGGAGGTGTGGGCGGTGGCTGCCCAGGAACAGGTGCAAGCCCCGTGTGCTGTCAGGGAGCCTATAGGGACACCCTGGGCAGTGGCACCTGCCATGGTTGAGGGGCAGGATCTGCAGAGGCGAACAGCGATCCAGGCTTCACGCTAGGCCCACATCCAGCTGCAGGAAGGCAGGAGGGTGGGGGTGCTGAGTGCCCTGTAAGGGAGCAGGTTAGGATGGAGGGAAGGAGGCAAGACCAGAAAGACCGCCAGGACATCAGAGCCTC